AGATGCGCTCGTGGCCTAATGGATAAGGCGCCTGACTTCTAATCAGGCGATTGTGGGTTCGAGTCCCACCGGGCGTGAGTATCTTTTTTGCTTTAAAGAAAAATCTCAAATATGGACCCATTTACGTCCAAAAACGTGAGTCTCCCTTCCGCTGCCCCTGCAAACCGCAATTCAGTTCTCGTTGGCTTGGTTGGTTGTGGCCTCCCTCGGACTGGCCGCTAAAACAAATTCAACGGAAAATCTCAACTGAAGTTCTTTGCTTTTTCTCCTATATATCCGATTCTTCTCGCCGGCACCCCTTCACCTTGATCGCTTCTCTCCCTAATGGCTTCTTCCACTTCGTTTTCCCCATCCCATTTAGCTCCAACACGCGCCGTTTCTTCCCCTCTCTTTTCATCCAAGTTAAACCCTTCAAGGGTCTCATTTCCATCCAGAACGAGAATACTTAAGCTTGCTTACGACGCCCCTCTCCTCAATCTCAAGGTTCTTTCAGCGCACGAACCCAAAGGTAATCTATGTGAATTCATTTGTGCTTTCAGTGGGAATGTTTGAATTTTATGAAAATTTGATGTCTTTGTTGCTGGGCATTTCTTTCCTCTTTTTATTTATTTATTTATTTATCTCGCTTTAGTTCCTTCGGGGTTTTTTCTATTAATTCTGTTTGTAAGTTGAACTTGTAAGTTGAACTCTGTTTTGTTACTTGGAAAGTTATGGGAATTGATTAGCACAGTTTCATTATTGTAGTTGCATTGCCAATTTGAAGTAAAGAAGCTTCTTTTATTGATTTGTTGGCCAAATATAGGTTTTCTTTTTGTGGGACAAAGGATGATGGTCGGATTCCAATTTTCACACAGGAATCCTGGTGGTCATTGATGTTCTATAGTCATAAAAAGGTCGTTATTTTGGTGGGATATTTCAGGCTGGTTCTTTTAGTTTTTTGATTTCTTTGTATAGCTGGATATTCAGAAATTTTTTCAATTTGATTATTGGTATGGTAGTTCAATGTGGTTTGAGATCTACAAACAGAAATTGACCTTATAGATTCACAGAGGTTGCTTGATGATTTTAGACAGGATATATTGAGATATTAGATTAAAGGACAGATTTTCTTAGGATGTAGTTGTTATTGAAAATGTGATCAGAATGCTTTAGAACTTTGAAGGCAATTGCTTTTCTTTTTTGCTTATGAATTTTGATGAAAATTCTGATGTAAATGTGTTTGGTATTGTCAGCCTATATTTCTTCTGCATTTTTCTTTAACCTAAAGCTTTAGTGCTAGCTCTATGTAAGTCTTGTAAGTGGGAGGGCAATAGGGCATATAGTGCAATGACGAGGTATAAAAACGGATGCATCCTTGAAGAACTTGTATTGAAGGTAGGATGATCCTAGGGATTCAGGCTTTTGTGTAACTGTTTATGGTAATATGAATATTAGTCTCTGATGAACACTGCACAGTGCTCACCTTGAATGACTTGAAGAGGCTTGGGTGTCTAGAATAATATGTCACGGTATTTGTTAAATTTAGCTCGCCCCATCCTCTACAATCTACATTATCTTAAAGGACCACTCAGGATGCTAATAGATAGTAATTCACCTTTCATTACGAAATCCTGTTTTCTTTCTATGATATTGCAGATTTTTGTTTTAACCTGTACT